TTAAGTAATTTAGATGCCATATTTGATGGGTGGTAATATTTGATGGGTAGATTGTAACATATATTACCATGTTATTTGCAGCACTGATCTGACAGTGTGATCAGCCTAAGCCAGTCCTGCTTGTTTTGGAGATCGTTCTGGTCACTCTACTGCAGAGGGACTCAGACCTCTTCCCTAAAGTTTGAATGCAGAAAGTGTGAACCACCCATGTATATATCCATAACTATGTGAGACTGAAGCTTCCACATTACTTAAATAAAGAGTACTAGCAAGAATTTCAGAATCTGAGAAGACCTTCCCTGTTGTGGCACCCTACTTATAAAATGTCTTCCTCTCTCAAGAATGCAACCTGTTTTCCCAGCACTTATATGCATTTTTTTATTTTAGATGTTATAATCTAGAGACTTTTTAAGTCTTGAAGGTACATAAGAACAATAAAGAGTATCAAATGACTACTTTAATATATTTTATACACATTTTTTTAAAAAAATGCCTGTACTTATTTACTGCTATAATTCATTGTGCTTTGCTCTTTTAATTTGATGTAATCTATCCAGAGAATTATTGTTGATGTGATATAATACAATATATAAACACATCAAATCTCTGCAGTTTTATATAGCAGGCAGTTTGTTCACAAGGGATTATTACAATGTGAGCCTAATGGATAAACACATGAAGGGAATTTGGCATATTTGAGAACTGAACTTAAATGAAATTATGAAGAGGCCCTGAAGGTAATAAAATTACTTACTATTACATTTGTATTTTGCCCTTTGTCCAAGGACACTGACAGTGTCATTTTACACTCAGAACAATGTGTTGACGTAGATTAGGCTCAGAGACAAAGATTTGCCCAAGCACTCCCACACTCCAATGTTATAGCTAAGCAAGGGCTAAAACACTGGGTTATCATATCCAGGTCTAATACTTTAATTTCTGCAATACATTTGCTCTCAATAAACAACTGCATGTTGAATGTATTAATGTTTATGATACAGTCCTAAACAAAACTTCCTTACTGGAAATACTCATTCAGTCCTATAGGATTTACTTCCAAAAAACATGCATTTTATTTATTTATTTATTTATTTATTTGATTTTTATATCACCTTCCCCCCAGAAAGGAATGCAAGGCATCTCACAATAAAAATGTTTAAAAACTTTACAATAAAAATGTAAAACAATTAAAATTGTCTAGTTAAAAACAGTATAAACCACCTCCCTCCCTCCCAAGCCCATAAAAACACCTGTGCCGGGCAAGGAAGAGGAGGAGAGCACCGGGAAAGACAGCGGCGGTGACCAGGACTGCCTCCCTCCCTCCCAAGCCCATAAAAATACCTGTGCCCGGCAGGGAAGAGGAGGAGAACACCGGGGAAGACAGCGGCGGCGACCAGGACCGCCTCCCTCCCTCCCAAGCCCATAGAAACACCTGTGCTGGGCGGAGGACACCATCTCCGCCGGCACCACCCAGCAAGCGGCGGTGTGCCTGAAGCCGCGGAGGACTGCTGGTCACCCAGCAGCCCTTGGAGGACCAGCTTTACCTGCGCGGCTGGGGAGGAGCACCGGCAGCTTTAAAATCTCCGCCAGCTTCCAGCCCTTGGAGGACTATAACTTGATTCTGAATAATTTATGTATTTTTAAATTGCATATTTTAATTATTGTTATTTAATTTGTTCAGTTTGATCTGTTTTTGGGGGATGGGGGTGGGGGAAGGAGGGATGGGACTTAAACTGACTTTTTTTTGTTTTTGATGTTTTGATATGTTGTACGCCACCCCAATTGCTTGGCAAAGGGGCAGGATATAAATAAATATTATTATTATTATTATTATTAATTACATAAAACATGCAAAAGTTTAAAAACATAACTGGAGCACACACCCTGTATAAAAGCCTCCATGATATGATTATATATTAAAAGCCTGCTTGAATGAAAATGTCTTTGCCTATTGGCAAAAGAAAAACAGGGAGGGGGCCAGCCTAGCCTCCCATGGAAGGGCATTCCAAAGAGTGGGAGCAGCCACTAAGAACGCTGTCTATCATGTCCTTGCCAAGCAAGCTTGAGATGCTGGTAGGACTGAAAGAAAGTCTTCCCTTTGAATTATGCTCAGAAACAAACTAGTAGCAAGTGGAGGTGTTTCAACAAGGGAGTTATATGCTCCCTATAACTGGCGTCGGTCAGCAATCTGGCATAGCATCGTACAGTTGGCCCTCTGTATTCATGGATTCTGCATCCACAAATTCAACCATCCAAGACTTGAACATGTTCCAGAAAATAATATTAAAGTAAAATTTCAAAAAGCAAACTTTTTGATTTTGCCATTTTATATATAGCACATTTTAGTTTGTTGTATAACTTCAAGTCATTTCCCGCTTATGGTAACCCTCAGGCAAACCTATCACAGAGCTTTATGGGGCTAAGAACATATGACTCACCCAAGGACACTGACTGGATTTCCATGCCCAAACATGGAATAGAACCCTAATCTCTGGAGTCCTAATCCAAAGCTCAAACCACTACATCACACTGGCTCTCACCAATTTAATATGCCATTGTATATAATATGACTTGAGCATCCACAAATTTTGGTATCCTTGAGATATCCTGGAACCAAACCACAGTTGACACCAAGAGCCTACTATAAATTGTGTTTACTTTCAAAAATTCTACCAAGGAAGCTCAAATGACGAGCCTAACAGCTAAGGTCTACAACAATATATGCATTTCTTTGTGCATTTGTTACATTTATATCCCAGCTTCATTTCCATGAGCTCAAAGTGGAGTATATGGTTCTCCTTCTCTCCATATTGTCCTCACCACTTCCCTACAAGATAGGTCAGGGTGAGAAACAGTAAATGACCCATTTGGCCAATTTGTTTCATGGTTCAATGGGGAACTGAACCTGGATCTCTAAGTCCCAGTTTAAAGTTATAAAACTTCCACCACATTAAATCCCAAGGCCAACTTTAGTGTAATATAAACTATATTCAGTAGGCTTAGAGGATCAGTATTAACATCCAAGGATTAAATTGTGCACTATAGAAAAGATTCTAAACAGATCATGTAACAGTTAGTCTGTAAGCAATTAAAAAAATAATAGAAACTGGAAGAGAGCACGAGGGCCATCCAGTCCAACCCCCTGCCATGCAGCAACATGAGAATGCCATGATCAATAAAAGTCAACATGGGTTTATTAAAAACATAGCTAGTGAGAAACTAATAATATAATAACACTCTATTACAACGATGTCCCAAAGGAATGAAACCACAACTCAACAATTATAGGCAATGACCATATTATTATGTATATATCCACATTGTGGTAATACTACAAAACACAGGATACACAATACAAAGTACTGTAAAGAACTATATATTCCAATTAAATATTTGGATGGAATAAAGCATACTAATGACAATTGATATGAGTCAACAACACTAGACGTCAGAAGAAACCTATCCCATTATTGTGAACATTATGTCCTGGAGATAAGTAACTATTCCTTTAGTAAATAATCTAATGAAATCAGATCCTGCAAAAACTATGTCCAGTGTGCTTCTTTTTCTCTTCACGACCTCTATTCAATATGATTTCCCCAAGGTCTAAAAGACAATAGTCAATTCAGTTGTGGTCATAGTAATGTAGCAATATAGGTCATGGAACCTGTAGATGCCCAACCTATCAATAGAATTGATAGTCAATAGAATTCTAGATTGTATTAATAGGTATAATATCTAGAGCAAGGGAAATAATAGTGCCACTCTATTCTGCTTTGGTCAGGACTCATCTGGAATAACTTGTCCAGGTCTGGGCACTACAATTCAAGAAAGCTATTGAAAAAAATTCACACACAAAAAGGAGACACAAGACCATAGCACTGATCTCCCATGCACACAAAGTCATGCTCAAAAATCTGCAGCAGAGACTTCTACCATACATGGAGCATCAAAGAAGCATCAAAGTCAAAGAAAGAAGTGCTAAGGTAGGCTTAATGTGGAACATTAAGAAAACAAAAATAATGACTATGGAAGAATTAATTCAATACAGATGACGAGGAAATAGAAATAGTAAAAGAGTTCCTCTGCTTTAGATCAATCATTGATCAGAACAGAGTTTGCAGTCAAGAAATCAAAAGAGGGTTGGGGCTGAGAAGGCAGCAATGAAGGAACTAGACAAGATCCTAAAGTGCAAAGAAATAAAACTGAACACTAAAGCTAGGATCATCCAAGCCATTGTCCTCCCCATCACCATATACATATGTGAGAGCTGGACAGTGAAGACGGCTGACAGAAGGAGAATCAGCTCTTTTGAGATGTGGTGCTGGAGAACAGTGCTGAGGATACTGTGGACAGCCAAAAAGACAAAAAGTGGGTCCTAGAACGGATCAGGCCTGAACTCTCACTGGAAGTCAAGATGACCATATTGAGACTGTCTTACTTCAGACACATCATGGGAAGGAATGACTCATTAGAAAAGTTGATAAAGTTAGGAAAGATAGAGGGTATTAGAAAAAGAGGATGAACACATAGTTGATAGAGAAACTCAGCCAAGAAAGTCAGAGCCTGGGTCTGTGGGTCTGAGCAGAGCAGCTGAGGGAAGGCAATCTTGGAGGTATCTCACTCATGAGGTCACCATGAGTCAAAGTCGATTCAAAAGCAGTTAACAACAATAATTGACAAGCTGGGACATTTCCACAGGAGGATGACCAAAATAATGAAAGGTATGGAAACCATGCCTTGTGAGGACCAGCTTAGGGAGCTGTGTATATTTAGCCTGGGAAAGAGAAGATTAAGAGGTGACATGATAGCCATGTTTATACATTTGAAAGGATGTCATATTGAAGAAGAAACAAGCCTGCTTTCTGCTGCCCCAGACACCAGGACTCAGGACGTTATCACACTGGCGGCAAGAAAGCGGCAAGAAAGTGGG